CCAAACACGCGACACACCCAACCAACGCACGATGTGGCAACGAGGCGGAAACAGGACGGCACCAACGAGGAACCAACCGAACCCCTGACAAACCCATCCAGTTCCTTAATAAAACGAATGAGAACCGCTAAATGCAAGCACTGTTCTGGGAACGCGCACACACACACACACACACGTGTGTATATATATATATACACACATAGATCCCCCAATCAGAGCTTGCCTCTGTAAGGGGTCCTAGCGGACTCACATGCCTTATAGCCGAATAGGCCTATAGCCCTATAGCCTTATATAGCCCTCTAGCCCTGTCGCCCACATACCCTATAGTTCTATAGCCATATAGTCCGATAGCCCTATAGCCCTAGAACCCAATAGCCCTATAGCCCCATAGCCCTATGGCCCTGTAGCCCAATAGCCCTACAGCCCTATATCTCTATAGCTCTATAGCTCTGTTGCCTTTATCGCACTATAGCCCTACAGCTCTATATGCATATAGCCCTACAGCTGTCTAGCCTCATTGCCCTACATCCTTATAGATATACAGCTCTGTGGTTCGATAGTCATATAGTTTCAGAACCTCATAGTTCTATGGCCTTATAGCCCCATTGCCCTATAGCCCAACAGCCCCATTGTCTTATAGCCCTAAAAAGCTTTGTTTCGGCTGTTCTATGGTACGATATATGTATATATATAAGTATATATGACAGATATCCAAATGTATGTGTGTATCTACCCATATGCACATGCACATGTACATTTAACCAGCGGGGGCGCAACACAATGTGATTCCTGCCGTACAGATTGCACAACGGGGCTGGAACAGTATAAGTTGTGCGGTAGGTGTTGTGAAATACATGTAGTGCAATGTTTGGTTGGCAATTTATGGTGTGAAATCGATGTAGTGCCATCGATGTGGTGGGATATGCAAGATTTGTTGTGCAATCGTTGTCATACAAATTATGTTGCGCACTCCGCGTGGTGAAATCTACGTGGCACAATGTGGTGCAACAGGCGCTGTGCTAAACATATGCCTAGATGTGCATTTCATATAAACACAAGGTGGTGCAATATATGCTGTGCAACCTGCGCGGTGAAATATATGTGCTGCAACTTACGTGGTAGACAATAATGTACTGCAACCTATGTGGTGCAAGCTGCGGGCTGTATTCTTCGTTGTGCGCTCCATGTTGCGCAAGCGACGTTGTGCACTATATGTGGTGCAACTCATGTGGCGCAACGAATACTCATTGCGCGCGCAACCGCCACGCCCACCCACCCGCAGCTCGATTTGCAAAACAACCCATGAGGCGGCGATTGCGATGTGTGCTTACTGCTGCCTGGTATATTTGCGCGGCCACGCCAGCCCACGCATGCTCGCGCGCGCACTGGCCACCTAGCCCGGCGTGACCGACGCGGCCGCGGTGGCGCAGATCGATGGGCACTTCCCAGCACATCTCGCAGGCCGGGTTGACACGCGGGCACTTCAATGCGAATCGGTGAATTGGGCGGGCGCGAAATCATGGCGACGTCGACAACGGTAGACACAATGATAGTAGTATCGATGACGGTTGCGATGATGACGACAACGATGGCAAAGCCAATGACGGCGCCGATGCTGATCACCCCGATGGCGATGATGGTGTCCTCATGTCGGTGCTGAAGTTTGTGGTGAGATTTAGACATGCGCGCGCGACCGACGCGCCCGGGTGGCCCGCATGGAACTGTTTGACAGGGATCACGCCCCCCCCCCCGCACACAGCACGCGCGCAAGGCACCGGCCGCGCGCGCATGTCGAAATCCTGGCCCAACCTGCATCACCCACGCGAAGACGCCGTCATTGTCGCCGGCGTGATCAGCATTGGCGCCGTCACTGGCCTTGCCGTCGTCGTTGTCACACTCGTCACCAACATGGTTTCTGTCATCATCGTGTCTACCTTTGTCGACGTTGCCATGAAACCGCGCCCGCCCGCTGGGAAATGCCCAGCGGTCAGCGCCACCACGGCCGAGTCGGTCGCGCCAAACTAGGTGACCGCTGCGCGCGAGCATGCGCGGGCAGGCGCGGCCGCAGAGATGCACCAGCCAGCGCCGAAGCACACATCGCGATCGCCGCCGCATGGGTTTTGTCAACCAAGTTGCGGGTGGGTGGGTGGATTGGCTGCGCGAGCAGTGGAGTGGATAACTCACTGCGAACAAAAATTATTTACACCACATAGATTGCTTCACCTAGACTACACAACCAATACGGTTAGAAACGCACTGTTTGGCGTCCACGGAGGTAGTAGGATTCGGCTGACAGGGTCCCGTGCCGCGAGGCACTGAGCGAAGTGTCCTGAAGTCCCTAAGAGTCCTCCATAATGGCTACCGAACACTCTGTCGAAGGTGGCCCACAGCCCCGTGTTCTGGGCGATCCTGGGCGCTTTTGAGAATCCGCGCGTGTCCCCGCGGTTTCCTGCGTGACTCTTCCGGAGGCAAGAGGACTCCAAGATGGGCCACGAGGCCCCCAAGACGCCCCGAGAGGGCTCCAACAGGGCCCCGAGAAGCCAAAAGAATTGATTGTCCTTCGGTTTTGAAGGATATCAGCGGCGTTCTCCTCCAAGACGGCCCAAGAGGCCTCCAGGATCGCCCGAAGACGGCTCAAGAGGCGCCCAAGAGGGTCCCGAGGCGGCCCCAGACAGTCCAAAGAGGGCGCCAGGAAGATGAACTCGAACTGACAGGTCGCGCTCCCCGCCCCAAGACCAACCCCGAGACCGCCTGCAGGCTTCCCAAGGGCCCCCCCCCCGCAAGCCCCAGCAGTCTCCCAAGAGGCCCAGATCAGGCGCAATGAAGCACCCGAGAGGCCCCCGAGACACCCCGAAAACTGCCTCCAAGAGGCTTCCGAGAGGCCTCCCATGATGTCCCCCACAGGCATCCAAGAGGCCTCTGACCTACCACCCAGGCACGGCGGCAGGATGGTCCGAACGCCACTGTACATGTGTGTGTATATATATATATATATATATGTGTTAGCCCGCGTGGACCCCAAAGCTTTGCTGTCTAGGTCGTGCTCTCAGTGTGGTGCAATACAGGTGGTGCAAGCCATGCGTGGCCACGTATGTGGTACAAAACAATGCACAGCAATGCAGAGCAATGCAAACCGATGCAAAGCGATGCAAATCAATGCACATCAAATCAAAGCAATGCCAAGCAATGCAACGCCAAGCAGTGCCAAGGAATGCTACACCATGCTGGGCAATGCGGAGCCATGCAGAGAAAACCAAAGCAATGAAACACAATGCCCATCAGTTCGAAGCAGTGCATCGCAGTGCAGAGCAATGCAACGCACTGCACTGCGATGCAGCTCCGTGCAGATCCGTGGAAGGCGATGCAAAAAGCAAAGCAGCGCCGTGCGAAGCGAGGCAAAGCAATTCAGCCCGCGGCGACGGTGGCAACGGGCGGCGACGGGTGGCGACGAGCCCGCCGGACCGCCACTGGGGCTTCGTTTTATGTCGGGCGTGTCCCCCCTACAGGGGGATTTTCCATGAAAAAAAATACCCCCAAAATGCCCCAAAAAGGCCAACAAATACTCCAAAAATACTCCCCAGACTATTTTTGGGCTAGTGTTTGACTATTTTTGGGGTATGTTTGATTTTTCGTCGAAAATCCCCCGTGTAGGGGGACACGCCCGACTTGAGCGCAGTTGCCAGCGGCGACGGCGGCGACGGTCTGGCGGGCTAGACTGCCGGGGGCGACGGCGGCGGCGACGGCGGCGGCGGGCCGGCAGGCCAAAAGTTGCCAGCGTTGACGGCGGTGGCGGCGGGCGGCGACGAGCTGGCGGGACCGCTGCTCGGGCTCAGTTACCTTAGAAACCGAATAAGAAACCTGGTCATCCTCCTCCTCCTCCTCCTCCTGCTCCTTCTCCTCCTCTCCTCCTCCTCGTCCTCGTCCTCCTCCTCCTCCTCGTCCTCGTCCTCCTCCTCCTCCCCCTCCTCCTCCTCCTCCTCCTCCTCCTCCTCCTCCCTCCTCCTCCTCCTCCTCCTCCTCCTCCGCCTCCTCCTCCTCCTCCTCCTCCTCCTCCTCCTCCTCCTCCTCCTCCTCCTCCTCCTCCTCCTCCTCCTCCTCCTCCTCCTCCTCCTCCTCCTCCTCCTCCTCCTCCTCCTCCCTCCTCCTTCCTCCTCCTCCTCCTCCCTCCTCCTCCTCCTCCTCCTCCTCCTCCTCCTCCTCCTCCTCCTCCTCCTCCTCCTCCTCCTCCTCCTCCTCATCCTCCTCCTCCTCCTCCTCCTCCTCCTCCTCCTCCTCCTCCTCCTCCTCCTCCTCTCCTCCTCCTCCTCCTCCTCCTCCTCCTCCTCCTCCTCCTCCCCCTCCTAGCCCCTTCGATCAGGGTCGGCGGCACCGGCCGTCAAGGCTCTCCAATAAGAAACCCCAAGTTCAAACACTGTTTGGGTTCTGGATGATCTAAATATGTGTATGTGTGTGCGTATGGATATATCAGGTTGCTGCGAGGTCCCATTCTGAATTTCCAAACAGACCTACCCCCCAAATCGCAAATTCAGTAGGGGGGTCCCGCGTGACTCTCGGAGCGCACCACATGACTTTTCCAGAATCCAGCAAGAATGTTGTCATTGCCTTCGGCAACAGAGGCAGGAGCACGAACTGCTCCTACGAGCAACCTTGTGCCAAGATGGTCCCCGAGACCGGCAAGCGGCCCATAGGGACGCCCGAAAGGCGTCCAAGAGGCCTCTAAGAGGCGCCCAAATGGGCCTTCGAGAGGCCCCCTAAGAGGCCCCAGCTAGCCGTTTCCAGGCCCCTCAGATGCACCCCGAGAGGCCCCAGTATGCATCCAACAACACCTCGACCCAGAACTCAGGCACGGTGGCGGGTGTGCCGAAGGCCACCAGACCTGAGGGTCGACGCAGCACATGACAGCACGGCGAGTCTTGCTGTGGAGATACGCATGCAGCGCGGCGAGCTCGGCGAGAGGTTCGTGCAAAGACAGAGGCCGTGCTTGCAAGGGCGTCGAGGGCCTTCGTGAGCTGGTTCACGTTCACCAGCTCTGATCTGAGATTGACGCCACAGGACAAGAGGCCAATGTCGCCCAACTGCGCGCGGCCGCCGTCTCGTCCCGCAAGGGGCAGTGAGGATGAGATGGAGGGGGGGAGGTGGAGGAGGGAAGGGACAGAGGGAGAATGGAGGAACGCAAGCCCAATGAACTCCGTCGAGGAAGAGGTGGAAGCACGAGTTGAAGAGGGAAAGCGGGGAAGCCCCTCAGCCAACGGTCTCTGAAAGTTATCCTGGCGAGGGGCCCAACCATATGCAAGTGTGAATACCGCAAGGCGAGTGGGACGAAGGGTGGGCCCTCTGTGGGGCCATGAATCGTGTGAGGGGTATGCCGAAGTGGGCGGGGGAACGCATGCGAACTCCGCCGCAGGAGCCTTCGGAGGAGCTCCCCGATGGGGCCACGAAACGTGTGAGAGGTGTGCAAAATGGGCGGGGGGACGCATGCGAACCCTGCCTCAGGCGCATTCGGTGCTCCCCCTGGGGCCACGAAACGTCTGAGGGAGGTGCCGAAGTGGGCGGGGGCACGCATGCGAATCCTGCCACAGGAGCCTTTGGTGGAGCTCCCCCTGGGGCCACGAAACGTGTGAAGGTTGTGTCGAGATTGGAGGAGGGAGGGGGAAAAAGAGGGAGTGACGCGGGCGCTCTCTCTTCAAAACGAGGACCCAGCACCGCAGGGCGGCTGGGAACAATCAAGCTGTCAGAGGTCTGGGCCCCACTCAGGGATGAGAGGCGACGCCCTGTGACCATCGTGTCTCTCTTACGCCATACACATACACTTTTGGCGCTCCGCGTGAATCTCTTGGATCTGCGCTGGACCCCCCTCCCTGGCGCGCGGAGCGCGCCAGGGGCGGCGCCGCAGGCGCCGCCTAGGGGGGCCCCAGCGCGGGTCCAAGAAACCCGCGCGGAGCGCCAAAAGTTTATGCTTATGGGCCATAAACAGAAACTTTTGGCGCTTGTGGCTCTGAAGCGCTACAAATGATGGCGTTCGTTGTTCTCTCTATCGATCCTTGTCGACTCGAGGGGCGACGCGCTGGGGCCGGGCTCGGGGCGAGAGGCCCCTCCCGAGCTCCGGGGTGCTGGGGCCTGCCCCCCCCCCGCCCACCCCCCCCCCTTCCCCTCTGAGCAGGGACGGACCGTCCCGGCATTCCTATAGTCCTGCCACGAAATGTTCTCAGAACCCCAAAAATGTCCTAAGAACAAAAACACTGTTCTCAGAACAGTAACCCGATGTGGTAAACCAAGGCAGTCCCAACCAGAAACATGTTCTAAGAACATGTCGTGGAAACCACAAAAAAAACTTAGAACCTTGTTTGGTAGGGCTACAGGCGAGCCGGGACGCTTCGCCACTGCTTGATCCCTGCGACGCCGCTGGGGCCTCGGCCGCCCGGCATCCTCTCTCTGATCGGGGAGCCGCCAGGCCCCGCCCGCCGCCCGGGCCAGCACCTCCCCAGGCGACACGGTCAGCCCTTGCAGTGAGGATGCGCGATGGGGATGCAAGGGCCTCGGGAGGCCCTCTCGAGGCTTTCCGAGCGGGCCGCGGCCGACGAAAGTGGCCAGGGGTGGGCCGAGGAAGCAGGGATGCAAGAGGGTAGCCTTGGGCAGGATGCCCATCCTCCTTGCGCGGGTTGGCTGTGCTCCTCGACCAAAAAAAAATACGATGCGGGTCGGGCAGGGGACAAAAAGCAGCGTGCACTGGCGGGTGGGGGAACAATCGAGAGCCGCTCCTCGGCGTGAGGAGCCACCTACCACATGTACTGGATCATTTCTTTATTAGGCAGCAATGAGGACCACTTCGTGAAACCTAGAAAAGACAAGACGACATAAACATTAAACTTTCAGCGCTCCGCGCGGATTTCATGGATCCGCGCTGGACCCCCCTCCCTGGAGCGAGGAGCGCACCAGGGGCGGCGCCAGAGGCGCCGCCAGCGGGGGGCCCAGCGCGGATTCAAGACATCGGCGCGGAGCGCCAAAAGTTTACGTTTGATGGCGCTTTCTCTGCTTCGACAACCGACCCCCCCCTCTCTCTGAAGGGGCCCTGGGACACACAAGTAAATACACACAAATCACAGGATCCCCCATATTTCCCATATTTTCTGGGTTTGTGTCTTCCCCCCCACTCCCCATATTTTACATATCTTCGGGGGAATCCACGATGAATCGTGTCTGTGTGTTTTTGTTCCCTCCTAACTCTCGTTCGGCGGCCGCAAGGACACGGAGCGGCGGTCGAGCTGCGCTGGGGCACACCCGAAAGCAGACCTCGAGGCACGAGAGGCCCCGGGGGAGGCGCCGCCCCCTCCAACGGGGCAGCTTCGGCTCCGCGGCTCGCCGGCGCCAGAGATCGGCGGTGGATAAACCTCCCTTCAGTAAACCTCCCTTTAGTGAAAACGGGATGGGACCGAAACCGACGGACTTGGACCCGCAAAAATGACGGCCGCGACGCCCTCTCTTGCACCGAAAACGGCCAATTCGCTAGTCGACGTGTCAGGGTAGGAGGTCTGGCCCCCCCCGAAGAGAGGACGAGGCGGGAGGAGGAGCTGGCGCCGGAGTGGGGTCGGAGCAGAGCTCGGCGGCGAGCGAGGGGGGGGAAGTGAGGAGGAGGTTTTCTTCGGGTCTCAGGAGGCAGCTCTTCTTCGGACGCTCTCGTCTGTCCTCTGCGGTTTTCCAGCCTCGGGATGCCTGCGGGCAGCTGCGCCTCGCCAAAGGCGTTGCGGGGGTGCCCGCATCGTCCCGAACGGCCGCCGGAGAACGAGCTGTGGCCCCGAAGCCAACTTCGGCGGCGCGCCCGGGCGGGGGGGAGTGAGAAGGAGAAGGCCTTCTCAGAGGGCGGCGGGGCTTCTCAGAAGCCCTCAGGCCCTCTGAGAAATGGTCCGCGTCTTTGGCGGAGCCTTACGAAACTTCTCCGAAGGCCGGGGGACTTCCGAGCTTTCTGAGAAGGCCCGCGCCCTCTCACTTCCCCCCCGGGCGCGCCGCCGAAGATTGGGTCGATCGCGCCGCATCGCAAACGCACCAGCGACGTCGAGATGGATGTGCTCGGGTTCTGGCTCGCCTCGCATCGCTGATGCGTCGGCGATGCAGCGTAACAATTCGACCCCATCTGCTCCACCTCCGTCCAGTCGGCCTGGAGCATCTGCGGGGCACCGAGGAAAGGACGAGGCACGTGGCTGGCCGGGCTCTGTGTCCCTCACCCCCGTTCGCCAGCGTGACCCTGCGCAGGGTTGCAACTGACGGTCCATCTCTGCATGCATCGCTAAAGCGCGCACATGCTCTTCTCAACTGCAATCCTGAGTATAGTGATATGTTTATTTATCCCTCCCTCTCTATGTGTAGATACGTGTGTCTGTATATGTATATATAGATATACATTTATCTATGCCCTGAGCTCTTTATAAAGCCGCAATCTTCCCCGCTTCGAGTGAGTCAATTGTCATGGTAGATCGGACTCAACATCACGAGCGGCCTCCATAATCGCGTACTTCGATGACAAGAACCGGTCCCTTCCCACCACATGGATTGCCAGGAGCCGCCAATGATACAAATAAGCAGCTAGAGGCACGAATGTACTGAACATTCGGGTGTGCTGTAAGACATCAAGAACGAATCAGCAATTTGATGCGGGCATGTGGGCAAACAAGGCTTAGCATGAATGCGGAATGGCACGACGACCTGCACAAACACTTTGGCGCGAACGTGAGCCACACATGGGAATTCTGATCGAGCTGGAAAACAAGGGACTACTCGGGGTGATTGCGCGGCTACGTGTGTGTAGAGATCTCACTTTCGCGAGCGATCGCCATAACACTCTCCAAATCCCACAAGCCCTCTGGGCGTAGGTGGCCAAATGATATGCTCCTGTCCTCTTCCGAACCCCCTCTTCGCTTCGGAGAGGCCTCCCTGAGGTTGTTTTGCCCCTGCCCCCCGCGATGTTTCAGAGGGTCCTTTTGGCCTGGGATGGCTCCAAGATGGTCTTCGATGCTCCAAGATGGCCTCCGAGATGGCTCGAGATAGCCAAGGGTGGTTTAAGATAGCCTGTGTCATGCCTCCAAGAGGCCTCAAGCGAGCCTTCAGATGGTTCCAAGTGCTCCTGGAGCCCTCCAAAGACCACCGTAAGAGCCCCAAATCCTCCCAACACCGACGGACAAGTAATGTGTTGTACATTCTCGCCGTTTCGCTTCTTGTGGGCTTCTGAGGCCTCAAGATGGCCCAAACTGCCCAAAGAGGGCCCCAATAGTGGCCCAAGATACCCACAGCCCCAACTTGAGCGCCCCAAGAAGCGATCTCGATGGTCCCAGAAGGTGGGAGGGGGGGAATTCGAGGACCCCCCCTTTTTTGATCAACGCCCTCCAAGATGGCCCAAATAAGCTCTTCAGGGCCCCCAAGAACCCCCCATGAGGGCCGCAATATCTTCCAATAGAGCTCCAAGAATGCAACATAACTGAAAGAGGGTACCAAGAGGGCCCAGAGAGAGTCTCAAGAGAACTCCAAGAGGGCCCCAAGCAAACCCTAAGATGGCTGTCAGCGTCCACATCCTCGTCCACTTTTTCTGGTACTTCTCATCTTCTCTCCTCTTCCTCCTCGTCCTCGTGCTGCTTTTTTTCCTCTTCCTCATCTTCCTCCTCCTCCTCCTCCTCCTCGTGCTCGTCCTTGTCGTCGTCCTCCTTGTGCCAAGCATCGTCCCCGCAAGGGGATCGGTGGGGATACGCGAGAAGCGTTCAGAATCCAGCCTTGGTGCTGCAACTGCTTGGCCGCGATCGCACACACTCTGCTGCGATGCCTCCTCCTTTCTGCCATTCCTTCGCCGCTTTCGGCCATACGCAAGAGCGACCCTGGGTAAGCGTGACCTCTGGTGCGCGGCTTCTTGGGGGGCCGCGGGGGATCAAGCCTGGGCGCGCAACCAGCTGCTACAGTGAGCGGCTTGAATAAGGAACACTTACTACAGTTATGTTATTTGCATGCGTTATTTACAGTTCCTTATGCATGCGTTATTTACAGTTCCTTATGCGTTAAGGAACCAGCGGCTTGCATGCGTTATTTACAGTTCCTTATGCGTTATTTGTTATTTATCGTTCCTTATGCGTTATTCCTTGGGATAAAAAAGGGGCTTCGTTCCTTATTTATCGTTCCTTAGATCAACGCCTCGACTGTACTGCTTCGCCTTCGGCCATCTGGGGACTCGGCTGTGCCCGCAGCAACAGCTCACTCCGGCGAAAGGTCACTCTTGCGTCTCGTCGCCGCTCGCCTGCCGCCAGAGGTGGCAGGCCAGGCCCCGCCCGGCATCCCTTCCCACTGCGGTCTCGAGCGGCTGCTGCCCCCCCCCCCCCTTGCCGGAGCCACGGAGTGTCCGACGGCGGCCCGCCGGAGGAGGAAGGATACTTATTACAGAGGTGGTATTCATTGAGCGAGACACCGCGCAGCAGAGAGGGAGACGGAGAGACCAGGACATCGACGGAAGGAGAGAGAGAGAGAGAGAGAGGATCGAGCCCAGAGAACACACAAATGGCACATTTCAGGGAGACAAGGGGGGGAAGAGAGAAAATGAGACTCCGCCGACCCTGTCGGCGTGCGGGAGACGCTTTTCCATCTTCCCCACAGCGTCGTGGCCTCTTCTGCTTTCCGAGGGTTCCCTACACAAGTCCACACAACAATTGAACAAAGTCGTCCTTCAGTCGAAGGGAAGATCCCTTCTCTGCCGGGGGGGGGGGGGGTCCCGGGGGGAGGTCCTGGGGCGACTCCTCGGGGTGGTCCCCCCTCGGATACGCAGCCCCGCACCCCTCATCATCCTGCGCCCTGGGGTTCCATTGGCCCTCCGGGGCCGTCTGCGGGCCCTTTCAGCCTATCTTAAGGCTCCTTGGAGACCTTTCGTCATTCTGAGACTCTCTTGGCAGCCTCTGGCGACACTCTTGACAGCCTCTGCGGGCGCTCTCGGACCTCGCTTCGCTTGACGCCGTCTTGGAACCCTCTCGGGCCACTTAAGGGCGCTCTTTGCCTATCTTGGCACTCTCTGGAGCCGTTCCCGAACCCTGGAGGAGGCCTCTGGAGCTGTCCTCGAACGACTTTGCAAGCATCTGGCGCCGTCTTGAGCCATCTGACGGCATCTTGAACTAATATACCTCCATTGTCTTCGTCGTCGCTGCCTCCAGGGTCGGCGGCATCGGCCGTAAGGCCTTCGCAATAAGAGAACCACAAGCAAACATAAACACACAACATATGGACATGCACGTATGTTTCTCTTCCTCTCAACATAATTATACGCATGTTCATGTGTTCACGTGCAAATGCGATGGGTAGATATAATCCTACACACAAGGCAACTCAACCATATATTCTCAAACATATACATATATATATACCTATACGACCACCCTGCGGGTGATATGGAGGTTGTGGGGGGGTGGGGGGAGGGGGGTGGCTCATGACGACAACTGTGTTGAACGTGGTGCTGATGGGCGATGATGGTGTGGATGACGTGGCGGATTTGTTTGTTCCTTCGCTTGGGCGATTTGTGTCGTTCGGTTGTTCGCTGCGCGACGCGGCATTCAGCCGACGACGTGAATGTGGGATCGATGGTGAGATCGATTATGAGACCGAATGTGGGATCGATGGTGAGATCGATAGTGAGATCGATAGTGAGACCGAATGCGAGACCGAGTGTGCGATCGATCTCACTATCGATCTCACGACAGGACACCGATGGGACACCGACGGGACACCGACGGGACAACGGCGAGCCACCGACGGGACAATGCGGGCCCCCGCTTGACAAGGCCGGAGGGGGAAACATTTGTGTTGGCGGACCCCTAGCGACAGCATAATGAATTCCTCTCGCCCGCCCACGCAGCTTCGCCTCGCACGCACGCACGGCACGAGCACGAACTCGAAACTCGACTTCCCGGTGGGGGGACTCCGTTACACTGCGATCTCACCCCCCAACCTCCGATATGTATATATATATATATATATATGTATACACACAAGACTGCATTGGCGCTTCGCGCCATGCACCTTGGTCCTTGAGGCTTGTCGGGCGGTCCCTGGCCCTTCACAGGCCTCTGGGGGCTTCCGAAAGGCGCCGGGTGGACGGCGAAGGATAGGAGGGAGGGAATCTCGGAGAGCGAGGAAAGGAAGCGGATGTGGGGGAGGACGAGTGGTGGAGCGGCAGGAAGAAGAGGAGGAGGATGGCGCCGTCGGGGGACGGCGAAGAATGTTGCAGCGGGTTGGAGCGGGTAGCAACGGGGCACGCGAACGCTAGTCATTCTTAGTGAATGCACCCGATCCCAGGTTCGCAACAGATTTCTGGGATTTGTGGTTGCGAGCCCGGGTTTCGGGTCAGTTTGGTGGAAAACGCCGTGTGGGCCTGGTTGGAGCCCTGGTGGACCGGCCGGGTTGGGGCCGTCTGGAGCCGTCTTCGGGCCGTCCTGGGCCGTGTTGGGGAGCTTGGGCCATCTAGGGACCTTACGGGGGCTACGTAAGCCCTCCTGTTGGCCTCCCATGGCCTTTTGGGGGGCCTCCCATGGCCTTCTTGGGCTTCTCTTGGGGGCCTTGTGAAGCCATGTTAGGCCTTTTTTTGGCTCATGTGGGGTTTCCTTGGGCAGTCTTGGGGCCATCCAGGCCGTCTAGAAGCTCTCTTGGGGGTCTCTTGGACCGTCTTGGGGCGATGCTGGAGGCCTTCTTGGCTGCTGTAGACGCTGCTAAGACCCGAACAGCGAATGTGCTGAAAATGCACGTTTCTCCAAGGGAATGAAGCGATGTTTGCGTTCTCCAGAGGTCCTCTGGGTCCTTCTTGGAGCGCTCTTGTGCTGTCTTGGGTTTTTCTTCGGCCTATCTGATCACTGCTCTGAGCGCTTCAGGGCCTTGTGAGGGCCTCTTGGGCCACTTTTTGGCTCATTTGTGGATTCCTTGGGCAGTCTTCGAGCCATCCAGGCCGTCTAGACGCTCTATTGGGGGTCTTTTGGGCCGTCTTGGGGCGATCTCATCCTCCTGTTTGGCTGTCTGGACGCTGCTAAGACCCGAACAGCGAATGTGCTGAAAATGCACGTTTCGCCAATGGGGAATGAAGCGATTTTCTGCGTTCTGGGGGCCCTGGTGAGGGCCTCCTGGCTGTCTTGGGGGGCCTCTGGAGGCCCTCGGGGTCCTTCTTGAAGCGCTCTTGTGCTGTCTTGGGTCTTTCTTCGGCCTCTCTGATCACCGCTCTGATCGCTTGGGGCCTGCTGGCAGGACCCTGCTAAGCGCCCTGGGGGGTCCAGGACGAGCCGGGGGACCTGTGGAAAGGATGTCCAGGGGGCCCAGAAACCCGCGATCCTAGGGGTCCAGTTGGGAGGGGGGGGGGCCCTCACCCTCCCCGGCTTGCAAACATATAAGAAGAGGAAGGGATACAGGTTATACCCACGGGTACGCATACGTGAGAGAGCTATAGAGAGACAGAGGGAGGGATGTGTATCGAACTACCAAACGAGTCGTTGCTACCTCCCGTCTGGCATACCCCCTTCTTCACTCGAGTCTCCATGAGCTTCCTCTCGCCCCAACATCAGATGGGCGATGCGGACGTCTTTCTGCGTGCACGCCCTCCACCAAGCGACGGGATCGCACAGATACCACGAGCGCTACGGCGCCGGCTGGCAACGATCGCTCGAACCCAAGAGCAACCGCCCCGCGACGACACGGAACACATCCTGCCCCGCCCCCTCCACAAGTTGGGCGCCCTGTTCTTCCGATAGACCAGGAGCTCGACCCCGTGCCCCTGCCGCAGCCGCGCTCTTGTGCGGCCCACCGGCGCAGAAAATGCGAAGGGGGCAACGAGGATGCCGAATGGCGTCCGCCCGTCGAAGGGCCTGCTCCTGCTGGGGCAAGAGAGGCTCCCTGGGGCACAAGCAAGGAGCAGGGGCAAGGCGAGCAGGGATGCGGAAACTCAGTGGCGATGTGTTCGAGCGACCACGGCGTGCCAGATTTTGGGGGGCCCACGCCACGAACAAGTCGTGCCGTCGAAGGTCAGAGCGAGCAGACGTGAAGACCAGGAACGACTGCCGACGACGCGCGCCCGACTCGGTGGCTGCTCCACGTTCGGCATGCGAATACCCAAGCGGAAGGACGAGCCCCCCCTCGCCCCGAGACCCTGAACGACACGGGCAGAGGGAAGGCACGGCCACGACACGGCACGGCGCAGCACCACCCAGCCGACCCCACGAGCTGGACGCACGACACGCCCACGTCTGGGCCGCCACGGGTTTAGAGGCCTCCCAGATGGGGTCCGATCAAATGGGATCGGATTGGCGAAGCATCGCCGATGCATCGGCGATGCGTCGGCGCCGTCGGCGTGGATAAAATCGGGCTCCACATCGAGCCACATCCCCGACGCACCGGCGATACGGCGCGATCCTGCGACCCCATCTGCTCGGATCCCGCCTGGGAAGCCTAGAACTTTACACACCGCAGTGTTGCGCCGCGAGGTGCTCCGCCAATGCCCACCCGCACCCCCTCGAACCACAGGTCCTTCCGCTCTGTCGCCCCGCGCCCGAGGCTACACGCTGGAGGCTGCGCTGCCACCCCGCCCGAGCAGCAGGGGCTGGCAACTCTCTGCGCCCTCCTCGCATGCTCTTCCGCCCCCTGGCGGCACTGGCTGCTCTGGAGAACGGGAATCGGCTACACTTTTTTGGTCTGCGGGGCGAGAGCGAACCTCTTCCGGTAAAAGCTAGGCGGGCTACGCACAGCTCTAATTGGGGAGACAGGGCACAGGCGGGCGGGGCCTCAGGCGGCCGGAGGGCGGGCCGGGGTGGGGAATCGGCTACACGTAGGGGTGACATGTGGCAAGAGAGTGAGCTTGAGTGCGTGGCTTTCGGGGGCAGCGGGGTGGCCAAGCAGAAGCGCGCAGGCCGAGTGCTGGGCGGACCCCTGCATCGGGGGGGGGGGCGGCAATGGGGGGTGGCCCGCAGGTGGGGTGAAGCACAGGGCCCTACAGGGGCCCCAGGACACACAAATAAATGCACACAAATAAAAATACTCGCCGTACTTAGTTTCTTACTTTTTTTCTGGGTTTCTGCCTTCCCCCCCACTTCCCATGTTTTCCTATATTTTCCTGGGGAATCGAGGATTCATTGTGTCTGTGTGTTTCTTTTCCTCCTGAAGGGGCCCTTTGGGGCCCCTTTTTGGGCACCAGCTGGCTCTAATTATCCTGGCGAAGGACCCAACCATATGCAGTTGTGAGTATCGCAATTGTGAATATCTTCTTCGGTGGCGCTCCCTATGGGGCCACGAACCGCATGAGGGGTGTGCCGAAATGTGGCGGGGCACACAACGCAAAGGAATACGATAGGTCTGATTACGAAAGAAAGAACGCGGGTGAGTCAGAGCGCGAGGGAATCTGAGCATGAATGGGTCTGCGCGCGAATGAATATATTTGCATGAATGCGATCATGGAAACGCCTAGTGTAAGTGTATATGAATGTGAATGGTTCGAACATGCCTGTCCGAACACACGTGACACTGGGCGTGGCCGCCGCAGGCAGCTTCCGCGGGAACCCCGACGGCAGCGTCCGCACGTCGCGACGCCCATGTCGGCACGCCTCTTGCGAGGATCGCGCCCGCTTTCGGCTCTTCTTTTCCTTCCTCTTTGCCCGCGCACTCCAAAATCCAAGGCTGCGGGCGCGGCGCAGCGCGGAGTCCCCGCGACGCGCGCTGGTCGCCCCGGGCGGGGTCCCAGCGACGCGCGCGGGTCGTCCGCTGCGCGAAGCAGAGAGAGCTGACTAGCTAACTGGCTGGCTGATAGCGGGCAAGTCTCTGACCGCTGGGCAGAGCGACGACGGGCGAACGAGGCGCCGGGCCCCCCGCAGCACGGAGTTCCCGCGACGCGCGCTGGTCGCCCCGAGAGGGTCCCAGCGACGCGCGCGGGTCGTCCGCGGCGCGAGGCCAAACAATTAGTCGGGCAGTCGAGAGAAGGCGCAGCTCGGGGGAGACGCTCCTCAGGTCAGGCCTCGCGGATGAACTCGGTGAAGCCGAGCTCCCTGGCGAGGGCCGTCGCTTCCCTCCTGCACCGCTTCGTGCGCGCAGCAAACTGCTCCAGCTGCTTCCGCAAGCCCTGCGGCGGCCCTGCCATGAAGAACTCGATGCGCGGCGCCCGCATGAGCAGGAGGTCCTCGTGGCGCGTGGCGCGCGAGAGCAGCGCGTAGAGCTCCAGCCACCAGTCGTCGTCCTCCTTCTTGCCGTTCCCTACAGAGCACTCATTTGTAATTCCGGTCATTTGTAATTCCGGTCATTTCCAATTCCGGCCACGAATTGCAAATGAGAGGTGCCGACGGGAAGGCATGTGCTCAAGCGCTACGCCCAACGTGTCTCCAAGGCGTCAGGGCGCAGCCTCTGCTTACGCTCGTAAAAGATCACAAGAATAACGGCAACAGCAACGTCGCCGCCGTTCCGTGCGACACGCAGGATTTGCGTGTCACGTCTACGCGACACGCAAATTCTGCGCGTCGCGTCGCCCGGCCGCCCAGAGCGCGTTCCGGGTGACACGCAGGATTTGCGTGTCACTTTTAATTACTTACGCGACGCCGCCCCGAGCGCGTTCCGTGTGACGTGACACGCAGGATTGGCGTGTCGCGTAGACGTGACACGCAAATCCTGCGTGTCCGCCCCCCTGGCGTGGCCCGCGTGACCCGCAGATTCTGCGTGTCCCCACCCCGGCCCCCCCGACCCCCGGCGTGCGACGCACAGATTTTGGGCCCGCGAGACATGCAGATTCTGCGCGTCCCCACCCCGGCCCCCAGGACCCCTGGCGTGCGACACGCAGATTTTGAGCCCGCGTGACACGCAGATTTTTCGCGTCCCCATCCCGGCCCCCGGGACCCCTGGCGTGCGACACGCAGATTCTGCGTGTCCGCCCCCCCTGGCGGGGCCCGCGTGACACGCAGATTCTGCGTGCCCCCACCCCGGCCCCCAGGACCCCTGGCGTGCGACACGCAGATTTTGAACCCGCGTCACACGCAGATTCTGCGTGTCCCCACCCCGGCCCCCAGGACCCTTGGCGTGCGACACGCAGGTTCTGCGTGTCCGCCCCCCCTGGCGGGGCCCGCGTGACACGCAGATTCTGCGTGCCCCCACCCCGGCCCCGGGGCCCCCGGCGTGCGACGCGCAGATTCTGGGCCCGCGTGACACGCAAATTCTGCGTGACCCCAACCCGGCCCCCAGCACCTTTGGCGTGCGATACGCAGATTCTGCGTGTCCGCCCCACTGGCGGGGCCCGCGTGACATGCAGATTCTGCGCGTCCCCACCCCAGCTCCCGGACCCCCGGTGTGCGACGCGCAGATTTTGGGCCCGCGTGACCGCCCCCCTGGCGGGCCCCGCGTGACACGCAGATTCTGCGTGTCCCCACCCCGGCCCCCGGGCCCCGGCGTGCGACACGCAGATTTTGGGCCCGCGTGACACGCAGATTCTGCGCGTCCCCACCACGGCCCCCAGGACCCCTGGCGTGCGACACGCAGATTCTGCGTGTCCGCCCCCCTGTGCGTCATGCAGACTTTGGGCCCGCATGACACGCAGATTCTGCGTGTCCCCACCCCGGCCCCCACCCTTGGCGTGCGACACGCCTGCTTGGCTGTGCGTCACGACCCGCGTGACACGCAGATTCTGCGTGTCCCCACCCCGGCCCCCAGGACCCTTGGCGTGCGACACGCAGATTCTGCGTGTCCGCCACCCTTGGCGGGGCCCGCGTGACACGCAGATTCTGCGCGTCCCCACCCCGGCCCCCGGGCCCCCGGCGTGCGACACGCAGATTTTGGGCCCGCGTGACACGCAGATTCTGCGTGTCCCCACCCCGGCCCCCAGGACCCCCTGGACCCCCGGCGTGCGACGCGCAGATTTTGGGCCAGCGTGACGCGCAGATTCTGCGTGTCCCCACCCCAGCCCCCAGGACCCCCAGCGTGCGACACGCAGATTCTGCGCGTCCGCCTCCCAGCTGGCGGGGCCCGCGTGACACGCAGATTCTGCGTGTCCCCACCCCGGCCCCCGGGCTCCCGGCGTGCGACGCGCAGATTTTGGGCCCGCGTGACACGCAGATTCTGCGTGCCCCCACCCCGGCCCCCAGGACCCCCGGCGTGCGACACGCAGATTCTGCGTGTCCGCCCCCCTGGCGGGGCCCGCGTGACACGCAGATTCTGCGTGTCCCCACCCCGGCCCCCAGACCCCCGGCGTGCGACGCGCAGATTTTAGGCCCGCGTGACACGCAGATTCTGCATGTCCCCATCCCGGCCCCCAGGACCCTTGGCGTGCGACACGCAGATTCTGCGTGTCCGCCCCCCTGGCGGGGCCCGCGTGACATGCAGATTCTGCGTGTCCCCACCCCGGCCCCCGGACCAAGGGGAGGCGAAAGGCAGATTCTGGGGCCCGTGTGACACGCAGATTCTGCGTGTCCCCCAGGACCCCCGGCGTGCGACACGCAGATTCTGCCTGTCCGCCCCCCTTGGTGGGGCCCGCGTGACACGCAGATTCTGCGTGTCCCCACCCTGGCCCCCGGGCCCCCGGCGTGCATCGCGCAGATTTTGGGCCCGCGTGACACGCAGATTCTGCATGTCCCCACCCCGGCCCCCAGCACCCTTGGCGTGCGACACGCAGATTCTGCATGTCCGCCCCGCTGGCGGGGCCCGCGTGACACGCAGATTCTGCGTGTCCCCACCCCGGCCCCCGGACCCCATTCTGCGCGTCCCCACCCCGGCCCCCAGGACCCCCGGCGTGCGACACGCAGATTCTGCGTG